CATCAGTCGGAGTATCACATTTTTCAATGCACCTTTAAGATCATCAGCACGCTAAATCAAAATACAGATAATACTTTGCAGCATCATCCGGAGCAAAACATTTTATTTTATTTTACGCCAATGAATAGCAGTGGCAGCTAGGGGTGTACAACTCCTCCAGTTTTGAGAGAAGATCTCATTGGTAGCGATTCAAGTTCCAGTTTATTGGTAATAGCATTCCAGACCCTGGGGGCATCAATAGCAAAGGCCCTTCCTCCAGTTTTTGTACGGTAATAGGGAATGTGAAGCTGGTAAATGAACGAAGACCTGAGGTCAAATTTGTTCTTTGAAACAGAGAGGAGATCCAGCAGGTAGTCTGCGGATTTTTTTGTAAGTACATCGTGAATAAATAAGATCTGGTGCACAAGCCGTCGAACATTAAGAGATGTTAAGTTTTACCCAATGTAGAGATCACAGTGGTGAGTCCTATATGGGCAGTTCAATGTAAATCTTAAGGCCGAGTGATAGATGGAATCAAGCTTCTTCATTACAGTACTTGGGGCTGATTTATACACGATGTCACAGTAATCAAGTAGAGGCAGTATGGTAGCTTTTATCAATTCTAAATGGAACATAGGGGGGAAGCAGTGCTTGTGTCGATACAGAAAACTAATTTTTATATTTGTCTTTTAACCAATATAATCAATGTGATCTTCAAAATTAAGTTTTGAATCCAGGATGACCCCAATATACTTATAGATCTTGACTTGCTCTATTTGATAATTATTTAAGGAATGTAATTGGGGAAAAATAACTTCCTGCTTTAGTCCTGGTGAGAAGCATAGCACCTTGGTTTTGGAGGTATTCAGGACTAGTTTAAGAGCAACTAGCTGATGTTGTAGTTTGTTGAAATCACCCTGGAGCTTAGCAATCACGTCATCCGGAGAGCGGCCAGCAGTAATCAGTATCGTGTCATCTGCAAAAAGATTTACCCTGGAATGATCCAGGTCAGTGCCCAAGTCATTGACATAAAGCGAGAACAAAAGGGGGCCGAGGATGGAGCCCTGTGGAACCCATTTGTTATCTTAACACTTTTTGACCTCCAACCATCTGTGAATACAGTTTGGGTGCGAGAAAAGAGGAAATTTTGTAACCATTTTACTGCGTTTTCGTAAAAACCGAGGCAACTTAGTTTACTAAGCAGGGTGTTGTGGTCTACTGTATCAAAAGCTTTGGACAGGTCTAGAAAAAGACAGGCACAGTACTGCTTATTATCAAGGCTACTGTAAATGTGATTCAGAGAGTCTAATGCAGCAGATGTGGTGCTGTATTTTTTTCGGAACACAGATTGTTTTAGATGTAGTAGATTGTTGGTGGACAGGAAACTGCTAATTTGGTAGGTCAATAATTTTTCAAAATTTGTCATCAACGGGGAGAAAATTGAGATAGGTCGGTCGTTATTGGGATCATCTTTAGGGCCCCCTTTGTAAAGTGGACGGACATAGGAATGTTTCCATTCTAGAGGAACTAATGCTTCTTTGATGGACAGGTTGAAGATATGGGCTTTGGGTTTGTATATTAGGTGACCAACAGTTAGTAGAGCGAAGACGGGAATACTATCTGCTCCGGTAGAGGAGGACCCTTTGAGGTAGGACAGTTGTTTCAGAACATTACTTTCGTGGATTGGCTGGAAACTAAATTCGTTTAATATTTGGACAGGGGTGTAGGAATTTGCATGAGCAGGGGTGACTCCCAATACATTATCAAAAAGATTACCAGCTTCAGAAAAATTAAGGTTAAAATTGTCAACTATTTATTTGGGATCTGAAAAATATTCCCCATTTCGGTTAAGCTCAGCGGGCAGATTGTCTGTTTTGGATGCCTTTTCGATACATTTGATTGTTTTCCAGAAAATCCTGGCATTTCCATGTGATTCCGGGAGAGTGGAGGAAAAGTAGGCATTTTTTGAACATTGATAGATAAACTTGATTCATTTGTAAGTTATTACAGTAGAGTAGTCACACGCATCTTCTACAAATAATTGCACAGTTGATACGGGAAAGTATGATGTGTTCTTTATACAGATTTGGGTCTTTTTAAGATGCTATTTTGGGCGATGTGCGTATTACAGCCTCGATGGGGAGGATACTTTTGCTGATGCTGGTTGTAATTGTAAATATTGTGGGTTTACTCTTCAACACACCTGTGTTGCTGAACTAGTAACTAATTGGCACGTTTTGTTTACGTGACAAACCTTAAAAATTGGCTGTGTCGGGTGGTGGCGGGTTTAACGGCACATTTATATTTACGCCATCTAATCCAAAAAAACGTTCGTTATGGCTATTGGTCGCGAAAGGCGACTCCGTGTTAAACTGCATTACAGCATTTGAGTCTCTAGATGGCGCTATTACACCAACAATCGCGGGCGCACCGCAAGTATTGGCTTTTGAATTATAAATATGGTTATTTATTCAAACCATTAACCTTCACGTAATTAAAATGATTTACGGCAACAATGTTAAAATGTTCTAGCTTTATGACTAAAATATGGTCCATTTAACTGGCATTAGTTGCACCGTAACTGATCTGCATATAGATTAGTGGGCCAACTGCCAATAAGAGATATAAATATTGTGTATTAAACTTGTACTGCCCTTTTGTCAATCCACTGCTGGATGAGGGTCTTTCCATACTATTTGGGACCTTGAGGATTGTTTGTCCATACTTCACACTGGTTAGTGTAGGTTGAAGGCATGGAGCATACACGTAGTAAAAGTGGGAGCATAGAAGCTTTTTTGGAACCATCTGACGAGATTTGGCACATTCTTGATGATTTCGTCCCAGGTCACGTTGTCACGAATAAATGTGATTACACTAAAATAAACGTCTTAATTTTTTTTTTTATTACAACTCAACGTGAGCCCGGTACAATGCGCTGATTACTGCAAGGAGGGGGAATAAAAATCCTGCGAACAGCAGTAGCAGGAGTTAGGCACTGGCTGATCTTAATGAAGGGGGATAATTGGGCTCACTGCCTCACCCAGGTGGGGACCGTCTAAAATAAAAACAAAATATTTATTTTTTACAATTTAAACTCCAGCATGTTGAGCATGAGGGTATCACTATATAGGGAGGTGTCTGGTGGTAGAGAAGTCAGAGTTGCTGTGGCAATATAGTTGAAATTCTATGTTTCAAATCATGTTTCAGCCACCCGTGATTAAACTGGGTTCTCAAGTGTAGGTGTACTGAGCTCATGGTCTCATTGGCTACACAAAAAGCCAATTACTGTGTATACTGTATATTTTCACATGTAAAACCAGCAACCTTAGTTTGATTTGTGGCCACGGCTAACACAAATGGATCAATGGTGAATGATAACAGACTGGTCCTGGGGCCCTCCTTCGTCAACACGCATTGACTATCATGGTGACGTATGGTCAAACAACCCCATGACTGATGCAGCATGGGAATTCTTCATCCGGCATCAATGCATTTACATTTGACTATGCTTTTGCACACCGGTCTGCAAATTGGGGGCCTAGGATTGGTTAAAATATCACTTGCCACAGGCGTTTTCCTTCGCCAGGAATTGAATGTTAGCAGCACGCTAACCCCCCCATTTTTTATTTAATTTAGCAATTTTATATTTCAGAATTAAACTAGTTGCTCGACAGACCTACAATGATATGATCTCTGTGCAAGATACAACAGCCTTGATATGGATGAAAAGGTCATTTGATGGAATCTCAAGAGCAGTTATGTGATTCATACTTCCATATGTCATTCGCCAACTTGGGGAGATGCTCCCATGGAATGCTCTGAAAGAATACAAACTTCGTATCATGACACCATTGTACAATTATGGGAAATTATTTAGGGAAATTATAAAATAACAAACAAATCAAGGTGTATGTTAATATCTATAACAAAATATATTCTGTTTTATATCCAACTTTCAATTGTTTCCCCTTTTTTTAAAGGCACCTGGTGCAGCTTTATTAACCCTGTGCAATGTCATCATCTTCGGCCATATCATCATCAGACATGTTCAATCCACTGCTGCGTGAGGTCCTTTATTCAATTCTGTGATGTGTGGACACTTGTCATTCAAATCCAGCTATTCAAATGTATTGCCTTGTCGTCATCTTTAAGCAGTCCATATAAACGATGCACTGCAGTGCCTGCAAAAAAGGGGATGTTCGGTTTTATATTCATTGATAACACAATGTCAATAACCTTGCGTGGCAGATTGAAGCAGTGTTGAGGCACCTATGGAGACACCCATGGTAGCACAGTGTATCGGGCTACCCATCATGTCCCTCAGGTGACTCGGGTTGCTTGCTCAAAGTGCGATATCCATGCAGTGTTAGACATGCAGCCTTGTCATGACAAATGCTCCTTTCATTGGAAGAAGCCAACAGGGTCCCTGCAGTTAGTCTTTGCGAGCATGGCACCGATCTGTGAGTTATCAGTTGGCTGGAAAGAGAACACGTGGGACTGCTCTATGAATGCAAATGCCATTTAGTAGGTAAACACAGACTTTGAGCAAACATGACTATCTGATACGAATGTTAAAAAGGTGGATATTTAAATGCATAGCACTCGTGACTTTTTATTTTTAATGTGATTTTTGAGTTTAAAATCGAGATAACGCTTTTACACAGGCAGCACACTGATTCAACTCGTAAGCTGCGTACGTTGTACGTGTACAGATTTGCATGCATATTAGCTGATACATTTCAAAGAGTACTCGAACAGGTATATATTTTACTTGCAAAGAATATGATACCGTAGATGGCAGCATGATGGTGAACAATATAAATAGTGTTTGCTTTGTTTTAATTTCCTCGACTCAAAAACATCTGTTTAATAAACAAAAGTTCATATTATTTAGAATTAAACATGTTTGCGAAATATTACAGGCAACAACATTACTTTTATGGCCAAGAAGCTACAATGTATTTTGGTTGTTAAATTGTGTACTTTAATGATCCTTTCAACCAAACACAAAAGCCACGATATGCAATTTAGAAACATTTATTGAAGTTATAGAAGTTACACGTGTTATATGTGACATAAATGTTGTTTAAAGAAAGCGAGAAAAGCAAATGAAAAGATTAACCAGCTTTTCAAAACAAGCCTCAACATCCATCTCTGTACAATCTCTGAAACTCGTCCATGCATTACACTTGCAATGTCTTGAAGACTAGCGTATATTCTAGCGTATATCGATATAATCCTGTAACGAAAAGTATTAACATAAAAGCAACAAAAAATACACAGTGGTGATCATTATGTGCTGTTAACTTGTGTGCAACTATATTGCGCTTGAGAATCATAACCTTGTGATTGAAATAACACAGGGTATCTTCATATATCCAACAGAGTAGGATTTTATAGGTGTGGTGGAAAAATACTAATTTTCGGATCCCCCTTACTCAGTCACCTGCAAATATGCTGCAGCTCTGTTGACAAGGTGCACACATATATCATCATCCATGGCCAGGGCAAGAAGTATCTGTGATCATATATTCTACTCACGGGTTTGCGTTTCTTCCCTTTGATTAACCTTTCCTCTCAGGTAAGTGCAATGTCACAAACTTCGGCTCATTTGTGGCACAGGAGACCCTGGCTTTGAGTGACCGTGCACATATGTCTCGCGGTTTATGACTTGTGCGAACATATGCTTTTAGGTTAAAGAGCGTGAATGTGTGTCGGGTTCGACTTTCCTCCTTCTGAGTGTGTGCTGTACTGAGCGCTAGAGAGCGTGCGTCTTGAGGAAAGTATCCGACCACTTGTGGATCTCAAAAAGGTCTTACTTCCACAAGACGCGTGACAAGCGTAAATATATTTAACTATTCATAACTTGCGCCTTTGCATATCTGGCTGCTTCGTCTCGAGGTTTCTATTTTTAGCACATTAAATGGCATTATGCGTTACTGGCTCTTCCCCCGACTCTACAAAACATGTGCAACTCTTTACATTATCGACAAAATCGTGTCCATGTCACGATGTTGTTTTGAAATATTTTTTAAAATATTATTTCGTTGCATTTATTTTCACGAAGTATATATTCACAAAAATGTTTTGCCTCTGTAATCAATATATTGACCCAATGATATTGTTGCTGCCAGAGCAATCAAATGTCAGAAACACCACTTAAAATATTTTTTGTAATAATTCCAATACAAAACATTTCATTAAACTACATTTGTTTTGCGTATCATTGTCATTATCAGCCACGGTCTATATACTTCTGGATGAAGGCCTCCCCATGCCGCCATTATCCCACATGGTCCTTTAGTGCCAAAATCCATATAACTCATGCAGATATATTTTATATAAAGTATTGATATGCTCTATTGTAAGTATATATACACAATTAGATTCTGAAATGTATTTAAGGAGAAAAACAAATCTACATTATGTATTTGAAAAGCATTAATTTCCCTCATTGTAGATTGTTATCAAATGACTGTCTTTTTATGTTGTTCCTAGGTAACCAGAGGGGAAAAAAATCTCAAAATTAAAAGTTTTTGTTTCATGCATTTCAGCCACAGGGTGTGAATCTGTTTCTTTCAAGTTCTGATAAATAAAGTTGGTTTGTTAATTTTATAGAAGCAAAACAAATGATTTGTTTTCACCTACCTTTAATGAACATGGCTGCTTATTCTAACCAAATACTGGCACTACTGCGGGATTATTGTGTGCATCTCTGCATATGCACACAAAGCCAATCAATGTGCTCTTCACTTTCAACTGTACTGTATTCCAGCTCCTTATTTAGTAAAATATTTCCATTGATATTAAAATACTAAAATTTAATAGGTAACGTCACACCCTAGCTGATAAAAAGGAATTCAATGATCTCAGATACAACCATCTAGGACTGCATATGTTTGTTTGTGTTTTGTGCTGTATTGCTATCCGATTTGTTTTTGGATTGTAACGTGTTGTTCAGGAATTTCATTTCAGCTCCTGAAGAAGCTCCCAACACTTGGAGTGAAAAGTCGGACAATCTTGCCAAACAACACGTGATAACAACCCGAAAACACGTCGGAGAGCCGAGGGACCACTCGGCAAGCCTCCTATTTCGGGGAGCTTTTCAGAGGGATGTTATTTGGAGCTTAGCACTTGAGGTCAGTGGACTTGAGCGTCTGGAGTCGCTTGTCCTGCATGGGTTTTGGCGTGTAGCACTTCATCACTGAGTTGGGTAGGATCTTGGTCTTGGTTGTTGCAAGCCACTGCACCAGTGGGTTGAGCTTGCAGTCGCAGTGGTAGGGGTTGCCGTGCAGGTAGATCATCTGCAGACCTGCGAAAAGTAGGACAAACGCAAATTTAACGTGCTGACTACCATGGTGTTGAGCTATTTGAGTCTTGATCACCTGGGACCTGGAGTGTACATCAATCTGTAAAGGTTGTGCCCCACAACTCCACAGAGTGGTTTTGTTATACGGGTTGTTAGGTATAAACCTCTTGCCTCATGAGATCTTGAAAGCTAAACATGTTTGAGCCTAGATCGTGCTTGGATTGGTGACCACCATGCACAAAAAAACAGATTAAATAGGCGTTACAGGCAATAGAGGGCACTGCAGCAACATTTTTTGTTCTCTACTCCGTCCACTTTCATCGACTTGTGCTGACAAGCACCAAATATCTCTAATGGCCACGCAATGTGTGTGGAGGCCCTCATCCAGCAGATAATTGATCAAATGGGCCCTCCGTGGGCACTGATCTGTTACAAAGTCCCCACTGCTGTTTCCATTAAGCTCATGAACACTGAAACGATACTGTACACAATGCAATTTTAAGTTTAATCATTTTGTGATTATACTTGAAAACGGTAATAAAATAACCTCCAAACCTGAAAGTGTAGAAAAGGTCCCTGCTTCGATGACTTTTATTTTGTTGTCACTGATGGTGAGCTGTGTGAGCTTGATGTTCGAATTGAAGGCATCCTTCGTCAGTACGCTGACCATATTGTTGCTGAAGTAAAGCTCACGCAGGTTGGTCAAGCCTTTGAAAGTGCTGGACGTCACCCTCTTGATATTGTTGTTATTGAGGACTAGCATCTCAAGATTCTGGAGCGACTGCAGTGTCCCGGGGGCAATGGTTGTGATCTTGTTATTGTCTAGGTTTAGGTAGTCCAGGTTCTTCAGCCCAACAAAAGCCTTGGGTGAGATCTGCTGGATTTTATTGTAGGCCAGGTCCAAAATCACCAGGCTGGGCGTGTGCTGGAAAGCGAGCGCTGGGAGGGATGTGATGTTGTTCATGGGCATGTCAAGGTCGGAGAGCTCTGATAGACCTTGGAAGGTGCTGGAGGTAAATGACAGAATGCTATTCTTGCCCAGGATTAGGTACTTGAGGCTAGGAACGCCCTGAAAGGCTTTGCTTTGCAAACTGCGTATATTATTGCCATACAAGTTGATCATCTGCAGACTTTTGGCTCCGGCGAAAGCTCTGGAGTCAAAGCCACTAATATGGTTTGACTCCAAGTGGATGTTTTTTAAATGGTTAAGATTCTGAAAGGCATTGGCACCAATGTTTGTAATCTCGTTATTGGCTGAAAAACAAAACAATTAAAACATATTAGAATGTTATCAGACGCCATTTAAAAGAGAAAACATGAATGACAAATACAAGTATCTCATATATGCCCTCTCGATTAGATTCTCAGAAAGAAACCGCAGATTGTCAGAAATGTCTAGGTTCTCAGTAAATTCAACACATTAAGTGATCACAGGCTGGATTTAAATGCATGGCAATTGCCAAAGAAACTTGAGTAACAACTATAAAGTATCTTCATGATGGGATTTCCTTTGCCAGAACCAAAATATGATAATACGTTTTTCCACTTTTTTTTTCTGACAACAAAACAGGTGTTAAGATGTTCAAACAGCAAACTGAAAACGTTTACAAGGAATCATGTCTGCATTAACCACAATACTTGTGGTCAGAATGCAAACAAAAAAAACGTACTCTGATCTCAAGATTGATACTCTGATAACATATACATTGTCCTTGAAACTGATTGGTCCACACCTCTGGTCTCACACCGTTTGAGACGAGGCTCAAAAGAAAGCTGTCTCTGGTGTGGACCAATCAGTTTCAAGGACAATGCATATACAGTGAGGGAAAAAAGTATTTGATCCCCTGCTGATTTTGTACGTTTGCCCACTGACAAAGAAATGATCAGTCTATAATGTTAATGGTAGGGTTATTTGAACAGTGAGAGACAGAATAACAACACAAATCGAGAAAAAAGCATGTCAAAAATGTTATAAATTGATTTGCATTTTAATGAGGGAAATAAGTATTTGACCCCTCTGCAAAACATGACTTAGTACTTAGTGGAAAAAATCCTTGATGGCAATCACAGAGGTCAGACGTTTCTTGTAGTTGGCCACCAAGTTTGCACACATCTCAGGAGGGATTTTGTCCCACTCATCTTTGCAGATCTTCTCCAAGTCATTAAGGTTTCGAGGCTGACGTTTGGCAACTCAAACCTTCAGCTCCCTCCACAGATTTTCTATGGGATTAAGGTCTGGAGACTGGCTAGGCCACTCCAGGACCTTAATGTGCTTCTTATTGAGCTACTCCTTTGTTGCCTTGGCCGTGTGTTTTGGGTCATTGTCATGCTGGAATACCCATCCACGACCCATTTTCAATGCCCTGGCTGAGGGAAGGAGGTTCTCACTCAAGATTTGACGGTACATGGCCCCGTCCATCGTCCCTTTGATGCGGTGAAGTTGTCCTGTCCTCTTAGCAGAAAAACACCCTCAAAGCATAATGTTTCCACCTCCATGTTTGACGGTGGGGATGGTGTTATTGGGGTCATAGGCAGCATTCCTCCTCCTCCATACACAGCGAGTTGAGTTGATGCCAAAGAGCTCCATTTTGGTCTCATCTGACCACAACACTTTCACCCAGTTGTCCTCTGAATCATTCAGATGTTCATTGGCAAACTTCAGACGGGCATGTATATGTGCTTTCTTGAGGGGGGACCTTGCGGGCGCTGCAGGATTTCAGTCCTTCACGGCGTAGTGTGTTACCAATTGTTTTCCTGGTGACTATAGTCCTAGCTGCCTTGAGATCATTGACAAGATCCTCCCGTGTAGTTCTGGGCTGATTCTTCACCGTTCTCATGATCACTGCAACTCCACGAGGTGAGATCTTGCATGGAGCCCCAGGCCGAGGGAGATTGACAGTTCTTTTGTGTTTCTTCCATTTGCGAATAATCGCACCAATTGTTGTCACATTCTCACCAAGCTGCTCGGCAATGGGTTTTATACCCCATTCCAGCCTTGTGTAAGTCTACAAGCTTGTCCCTGACATCCTTGGAGAGCTCTTTGGTCTTGGTCATGGTGGAGAGTTTGGAATCTGATTGATTGATTACTTCTGTGGACAGGTGTCTTTTATACGTGTAACAAGCTGAGATTAGGAGCACTCCCTTTAAGAGTGTGCTCCTAATCTCAGCTCGTTACCTGTATAAAAGACACCTGGGAGCCAGAAATCTTTCTGATTGAGAGGGGGTCAAATACTTATTTCCCTCATTAAAATGCAAATCAATTTATAACATTTTGACATGCGTTTTTCTGGATTTTTTGGTTGTTATTCTGTCTCTCACTGTTCAAATAAACCTACCATTAAAATTATAGACTGATCATTTCTTTGTCAGTGGGCAAACGTACAAAATCAGCAGGGGATCAAATACTTTTTTTCCCTCACTGTATTATCACAGTGTCTTTTTTGTTTGCGTTCTGACCACAAGCATTGTGGTTAATGTAGACATGATTCCTTGTAAAAGGTTTCAGTTTGGTGTTTTAACATCTTAATACCTGTTTTGTTGCCAGAAAAAAAGTGGAAAAACCTATTATCGACTGTAAACTAAACAAAAAAGCGTCGAGATTATACCGAGAGGGCAGGTGAACATATGGATTTGAGCACATGCATATGAGAGACTGCATATTGACTATGACGAAAAGTGGGCTTATGCAGGACACAGCAATATAAGGGATGATGGCCAATAGACTAGAATGGTGATGATATCCAAAGGGGGGATCACACCCGAGGAGGGATCACACCACAAAGGAAATGGAGTGATGAGATTAACCGATGTGCAGATGTGAGAGAGATTGTGGTATCTCAAGACCGTGAAAGAATGGCGATGATGTTGAGAGGCCTTCATCCAGCAGTGGATAGATCATGGTTGTTGAGAATGCAATAATCAGCGCCCAAAATTACGTCTGGAACAACCTCAGTTACTTTATGTGGAACAAATAAACAGTTATTCATATATGTTCGTGTAATGTCACCGGCAGTGAAACAAGTAGCTTGAATATTTGGATCAGCATTTTGCATAATTTGAGTTGTGCGTTGTATTAACATTTTCTTAAATATATTTGTTGTGTGCAGTTATTATTCAGGCGAAAACTTTTTTTAAGAGGCTTTAAAAACAAAATTGAAAACTTGAACAGCAATTTTGAAAGAAATACCATCTGCGTAATAACTACACCAGTGATGCAATAAAAATTAGCTCTGACTAATAACCCACTGTAATTGTCACGTTAATTAGTACAAGGTGAAACGATTTACTATTATTATGCCAACATTATTAGTGACGTAAATATCACAATAATACTGGTAAAATATTATAATGGTAGATCATGCTAACGTTATTTTCTATATTGTTTTCTATGGGGAATTTGACACTTATGTAAACACCAATTAACAGCGCATATAGGTATCTATGATTACATTCTTCCATCCACTGGGTTATCTTGGACAATACTGTATTTGGTTTTCAATGGATCATTTATTGCGGCACTCACAAAAATTCTGCATCGATCGTTCACTCATTAAATGCACACAATTCCTTAATGCTAAATGCAATATGTGGGCCAACTACCTCGAGTGGTGCAGAGTCTTGGATGTTCTGGAGACCGTTGAGTAGACAAATCGCTCATTATATAATCACTATGCGCAGTGGATTTAATGGTCTCCGTATGGTCATGATGACTGCATCGAAAACTCTTTGTATTGAGCTGAGAGTGGAGGTCAGTGTCACATGCCAAGTGGGACAATTTACTTGACATAAAAGCCAGGTAAGAAGGCCGTATGGGAAGTGACTTGCACAGAAACTATTCCTACACAGGATGCTCATTCCATGGTTAACTGCCCAAACCCCACCCAACCCCACCAATCACCCCTGACATTTATAGTCGGATAAATGCTACCCATACTGGCAATTTCCATTAAAATAATTAAAATGACAAAAATTAGATCAACACAATTTTTCACGTAAAAATGTATTATAGCATGCATTCATCGACACAACATAGTGTTTATTTTGTATACATTAACTGCAAGTGTAGATTTAACACACATGTGATGTATATGAAGCATTGTCTACCTTTAAAAATCTTCTTTGATGTCTGAAAATGTATGAGCATACCGTGTTATGTTGCAGTGTGTAATTTTTTGTGAATTATTTATCCACTTATTCTATGCTTTTACATGGGACTCAAGCTGATTAATGAAGAAAACAAACTGACACAATGTGTATATAGTGCACTATTAATATTAATAAGCCAGCCAAAGATGGTTAATGTGAGTTTGTTGAATGCCATTTGCAGCCAGATGGTAGCATTGGATAATTTAGTGAAGGCACTGCGTTGTCTCCCACCGAATGAATTACCGCCCCAATTTCTGGGTCTGTGGCGCTCACCCAACTTAATGGTCGAGGCGTCGGAGGGGATCTTGGACGGGACTGATTTCATCCTTTGGTCACCGCAGTCAACATCCAAGCCGTCCTGCTGCGACTGCTTTGCACACTTGCAGCCGGACGGGCAGCCCAGCACCTGTCGGCTCACGCCCACCAGCACCAGCACCACCCAGCACACGGAGGCTGTCCTGGATATACTGCGGGGCAGCACCAGCAGGCATGTGTCGCTTTACTTCTTCTGCCTTGCCAGCATGCGTGCCTATTACTGTTACGGTAACTTAATGTCGCCCAGCATCCCTCATGGGTGGATAAATTGAGTACCACATTTTGTGTGGGAAGCCAACGGATAGACTCACCCCTGCGCACTTCTGTAATGCCAAACCAAACCAGCTTATTTTTAAACCTTTGTGTTTGTATATTCTATACAAATTACAGGATTATAATACGCACAGTGCAAATGGAGTCTTTGGATAGTCGGTAACTAGAGTTGAGTCTCCTTGTAACATTTATAATCTGTTCTCAAACGTAGACTGTTTAATACACATTAAGTATATTACCATAAATTAGCATTTATTTAAATGGGCGTTTTTTGGTTACTTAATTTATATCGTATTACTGGGAAAGCGGCAGGTAACGCGACGAGGAATGTAACAAGCTACAGACAAGGCACGCTTGTGCACACTCAGAGCACCTTCCACATAAAGCACCAGCGTAGGAGGGCAGATGATTTAGTGACTGGTAGGGTGTGTTCTTGCCTCAGTGACCCAATCCGATTATAGTCTTCATAGCAAGCGAAGGCCTGTCTCAGGTCAGCTCAGCATGAAATTAGCCCTCGATGCTTTAAGTAGTGACCACCCCCTTGTGTGGCGAGCTACGAAACAAGGGCTCTCTAGCAGCACTGCTCCCTGTGGTGATTTAGGATATCCAGCACAGGGCACTTTGATTTTGTTATTATTGCAATTTCCAAATATGGCTGAAAGTTTTCATGCATTAACCCTGTCCTTCTCTCTGTCCGTCCGTCTGTAACGTGAAATCACAATAGCTCTCGTCAAGCTGGTCCAATATAAGAGAAAATTTGTTGAAAGTTGTGTTGCTATCAGGGAATTATTCGACGGGAAACCAGCCAAATCCCTCTAAGAGTTGCCCAAAAATTTGGAGACCAATGCTAAAAGTAATATTCTGAACTGCTCATAATTTACTGCTGTGGAAATAAGCATGCAGGAACGCATTACAAAAAATATGCATACCCTAGGATTTTTTATCCGTGTTTAATTGGACACTGCATTGTTGTTACTTTCGCAATCATGTGAAGATAAATTGCTAAATATTATTTTGCTGAGAAATATAAAAATGTGCAGTTTTCACTGGCTGCCTTTCTCAACGTCAAAAAAGTGAATTCCTAAGCAGCGTCCTTTGTTATAATTTGTGGAATAGAACGTAAAAAAAAACACAATGTTATCTCTTATTGAAGTGCGCGGCATAGGCTAACAGTGTCAGACTACTTACTATCTGTAATGAAAATGATAAACAATGAAGGGTACATCCGAACCCCTTAATATAAATGACTTCTTATTTTTCTCCAGCAACAGATAGTTTATTCTTACCATATACTCGAACGCATTTCTGTCTGATAATCCATACAATATACACAAAATGCTACATGTAGGAGCGCAGCAGTAACAAACAATACGAACAGGCAACGCATAGCATGGAAGAGCTGCATTCAATATCAATTGTAACATTCGTTTTCAAATTAGCATAATCACTGTATTTATAACAGTGAAATTAAGTAATTGTATATCACGCATTGCATTTACCAACGTTATTTTGAGCTAGTGAGTATCTTAAGAAACACGAGAGTAATTGTTTAAGTCACTTACCGCATGATGAGTCAGTTTCCTTTGCCCTTTTCAACCGAATGAGCAAAGTTCTCGCGTGATGTTTTTCTTTTAGAGTCAAGTTTATGAGACAGGCTTCAAATTTTTATGTCGCCCGCTAATGATCGGGTATCTCTCTCTCTCTGTGTCACAAAGAGCGCAGTGTGTGCTCGTGGATGTTTTGGCTTGGCGCTGAGAATAGGAGTACACGGACAGTCTTGGAAAGCACTGCGAATCACATTTTAGCGTTGGCTTCCTATGTTCAACATTCATGGTGGCTTATATAACGTGTGATCGAGGGTGTAAGTCCTCTCCAAGTCAAGCAGACCAGTTCCATTTCCTCACACTCAGTTGTTTTGCACTCATTCTGGAGTTTGCTCAACGTGGCATAATTGTGAAGCTGTTTTTTTCTTTCTGGAAAAAAGTAGCAGTCCTGCCTTTCCAGCTGCTGATAATTATGCAGCCACGCTTATTTGAACATATTATGTCATTATTTTTATTGTTTTACATTTTTTTATATATAAAAAAAAGCTGTATTGCCCAATAATATTTGATGTGAATTTTCATTATTATGATAGGGGCCGTGAATTATGGCATAACTGCAGTTACAAACCTTAATCTGTGCCCTTCTCTTCACCAACCCGTACTGACCAGTGTGGTGAAGTATGGTCAAACAAACCGCATTACCGACATGGTGTGGGGGAGGCGATCATCCAGCAGTAGATTGATATAGGGGCTGTACATTATTATTATTAGAGCCCATGGATACAAACACAAGGGTACAAAACTTATGTTGTGACAGAACAGTAGCTCGGTGGTTAGCAAACTGTGATATGCCCTCGGTGACCTTAGTTTGATTATCACCCATGGCTAATGTAATTGGCGGGCGATATCTGAACTGGTCCTGCCCCCCCACCTTCACTCACCCACACTGGCCAGAGTGGTGAAGTACAGTACCTGTATTGTCAAAAATCCCTGTGACTGGAATGGCCTGGGAAGGCTTTCATCCAGCAGTGGATTAACAAAGGGCCATATATTATTTGGGTCTTTAGGTAAAGTCACGTTGATAGGTTCAAAGAAAATTTAAAAAAACGCTACCATTCTTGGATGTTTTCATCGAAAAGAGACCAGATTAGCTCAATGGGCCACTCTGTCTACAGGAAAGTAACCCATACGGATACCTACCTAAAACCTGACTCCCACCACCATCCATCCCAGAATAATTCCCTTATCAAAACTCTACACCATAGAGCTCGATGTATGTACGACCATCATCATTGAGCCAGTGAACTGGAACACGTACACCAAGCTCTCAAGACGAACGGATATTCAGACTACACAATGCGTAAAGCTATCACCCCAACCGTTGGGAAAGAACCATCTGAAGATCCAATCAAAACCATCACCTTGCCATACATAGCAGAGGTCACAAAAAATATTTCCAAAATCATGAGCAAACACAAGATCCAGGTTCGATTTAACACAGTACATAAAATTCGTGATCTGATCCCATCTGTGAAGGATGTGATCCCTGACCCGGCATCTACAAACTAAGTTGCATCTGCGTCAGTAGTTACATTGGGGAAACTAAGCGACATGTCTCAGACCGAGTCCGTGAACATACATACGGCAGATCTGAAACACAGTAGGACCAATACCTCGGCCGCGGCTGATCATTGCTTTAATGCGGTGGGCTCACACGAAATTGATTTCTCTAAGACGAAGGTACTTTGCAAACCCACTGGCTATTAACAAAGATTCCTTCATGAAGCCACCCATATATACAGACATAGACACAATTTCAGCTGAGAAGATGGGTACAAACTCAGCAATCACTGGAAGGACGTTATCAACCAGTTTAAGTCATAACTAGCTGTAATGTTTCCATTTTGGACCTGGTAGCCCTTTAATTGGTGGAAGCCCACCACCAGGACCATCACGACACACTACTACCATCACCACTAGCAGTAGTCCTTCATTGGTGGAAGCCCACCACCAGTACCATCATTACCCACTACTACCATCACCTCTAGCAGCAATCTCCACCGTCAGCAGTGTGGGTGTGTGGAGCGAGGTGCAATGTTTGCCTGGCGGCCCTTTGATTGGTAGAGACCCACTGCCGGTGTCGTTGTTTTCCCCGACATTAACATTAGCTGCCCCGCCCATACTGCTGACACTTGGGCTACACCCATCTTTAAACCTTTATAAACAGTTTGCCTTTAGAGGCTAACCCCCTTTTCCTGATGATGACCGCTTGTGTTGCGATCGAAACGTCGTCGTTTTTTGTTATTTTCTTTGAACCTATCTACGTGACTTTACCGAAAGATCCAAAGAATATGAATTCCTGCAGTCACGGAAGCTTTAAGTCAAGTATTACTTTCTAAATTAATAATTTAGCATAAAGTGAAATGTTAAAAATGTGCACTACTACGTCAGCATATAAACAAGGGGATGCTGCCGTGATATCAGGTTAGCACACTAATCCATGGGACTTTGCTTCTATCTCCCAGCTCGGTTCGTAACCCCCCCCCCCCCCCCCCCCCCATTTCTGTCCACCTAGCAGCATAAATGGATACTCCAAAATCTAGATTTGAAGTTTTAGTGACTGCAGGGATCCATACTCACTGGTTCTTTCGGTCAAGCTACGTAGGTATAAAAAATAAAATGCATTTAATCACGACGTTTCGGGCGCAACACAAGCGTCCGTCAATTGTTTCTTGCTGTGGTTGTCCCACCTGACGCTTGTGTTGCGCCCGAAACGTCGTGATTACATTTATTATATCTTTTATACCTACGTGACTTTACCGAAAGAACCAAAGAGTGTGGATACTCCACATTTAGTTGATCAGCAGTCGAGTGTGGTGGTGTGAAGTACGCGTGCTCCCACCTCTTGCAAGATGTCTAGCCAGCGTGAAAGAGTAGGCCAAACACCTACGAGAGGCGATCTTTATAGCTATTTCTGGCGAGGGCCCTTCTAGCAGCAGTTGGCGTGAGCTGGCGATTTCAGGGCTGATATGTTTGGCTTCATAAGAAGCTTCATATGAAGCCAAACATTACGTCCGTAGAACCTATCTTGTACAGCATTTGGATGTTTTGTTTATAAATCTCCTGCGCTTATTGTAATACAGTATTGTTTTAAATACAATCCATATAATAATAATGACAATGTGTGACGCGCATGATTTCCAAAGCAGACGATAGTTTGAATGCGACTACGTTCATTTTTTTAATCTCAGTTTTATGCCACAACCAGCCATTAGTCCTCCACCACCCGACAAGATTTGTCACATTCACAAATGCATATCGATGGAATTATTATGACTAATAAAGTTCACCGGTGACTGAAGACGTTTCACGTAATAATGTAAATTGTTAAAAAAAACTATTTTGCGGTGCGCTCAAGCGAACGTGGAAGCATATCGATGATGGTAAACCGTAGACAAATTGCATTTTTCCACATCTTCATTTGTAACTAAGCAGCATTTTGTTAAGTAAACAGCACACGGTTCGAATGAGACGCGGCTCGCACCCAGGCTGCAGATTCCTGCAGGCTGTAAGCTACACCGTCTAAGTGTGCGGCTGTCACTGTGGGCACTGTATCCCATGCACACGCAAAAAAAACACACAGGAGGCCACAGTCAGGGAGACGCCGAGAGAGAGAAGCACATGGAGCCAATGTTCCAAAAAAAAAAAACCCACATTTGTTTTTGCGCGTGCTGCTTAACCCCCATTCAAACCTAACCCAAAGTGTTCGCACGCCCGAACTAGGCACTCGTTTTAGGCTGAGTCGACCTAGGGGAGGGGGGAAGGATCGGTTCAGATAAGCGTCACCGGTGTTGGCCAGAATCGAACTCGGGTCGCCGGGTTGGGAGCGCAGCGTAGCGCTAACCACTACACCACCGCTCCCCCACACACACAAAGATCCCCCGTATAGCCTTAACAGACTGTAGTGGCAAGTGCTGTTAGCGAGCAGCTACGAATGCCGACACGGCACACGAGGGGGTGGGTGGCCAGCACCACGCCCGACCGCCTTTGTCTCCCCAGTGGCGATGTTTTGCTACACACCGCACCAGGTACTCATTTGAGGCTGAACCTACCTATGGGAGGCCCAGGACCGGTTCAAATAATCGTCATTGGCGTTGGCCGTGAGCGAGAATTGAACTCGGGTCGCCGGGTTCATAGCGCAACGCCTTAACCACGACGCTACCGCACACAAAAAAAGACAAAGATCCCTGTAACAGACTGTTGGGGCAAGTGCTGTTAGCGAGCACATTAAGGTTTTCAGTTTTAAGTTTCATTTATTTGGTATAGCCCTGTGAGCCATTCGGCTCTTGAATCGGGTGCAACAAACAACAAACAAAAAAAACATGAACAAGAAAAACATCTTAAAGTGGACTACGCGCAAACAGAAAAATCCAGGGGGGGAAAAAAACACAGCAAAATCTTCCAGTAAAAAAAGCACCGTCCACCAACGCTGTGCAAAAATAACATGAAGGCCGGCACGGCACACGAGGGGGTGGGTGACCAGCACCCCACACGCGGCCGCCTTTGTCTCCCCAAGTGGCGTTGCTCACGCACGCGCACTTTGACACGCGCAACGCGCACTTTGACACGCGCACTTTGACACGCGCAACGCGCACTTTGACACAAAAACAAAGATCCCCCGTATAGCCTTAACAGACTGTAGGGGCAAGTGCTGTTAGCGAGCACCTATGAAGGCCGGAACGGTACACGAGGGGGTGGGTGGCCAGCACCACGCCCGACCGCCTTTGTCTCCCTAGTGGCAATGTTTACACACCGCACCAGGTACTCATTTGAGGCTGAGTCGACCTAGGGGAGGCCCGGGACCGGTTCAGATAATCGTCACTGTTGGTGTTGGCCGTGAGCGGGAATCGAACCCGGGTCGCCAGGTTCGTAGCGCAGCGCGCTAACCGCTACACTACCGCTCCCCACTTTGACACGCGCAACGCGCACTTTGACACGCGCACTTTGACACGCGCAACGCACACTTTGACACGCGCACTCCCAGCGCGAGGCTGACTCCTTACATCTCGTGTAGGATCGCTCCGCTGATTAAAATAGTCCCGCGGTTCAGTTTGCAAGTGTGTGCTTACGTTTTAAGTCAATTAAAAAAAAAAATTCACGGAAGCTTGTTTGTAAGTGAGGGTGTTTGTAAGTCGGGTGTTCGTAAGTCGAGGACTGCCTGTAATAATTTATTTTTGAAAATAACATTTGCAGGCTGCCCCAAAAAAAACAACAATTACTTGTATGTATGTTGTTCTTCTTTTGCAGCCTACATAGCCGACCGTGCTAACCGGAGGTGTGGAAATGCTAGAATTTCAGTTGTGTTAGCTATGTGAGTTATATTATGCGCCTTGACACATAATTCATAATAATTATGCATAAAGGGTAATGTGTTTCATGAAAAAATGCAAAGTG